CTCGAACCCCTGGGCTCAGGCAATCCTCTCGCCTCAGCCTCCCAAAGTGCTGGGATTATATGCGTGAACCCCGGCTCCCGGCCATGGCATTTCTTATTTGCTGCACTTCCTCTCATTCATTTCTACCTTGTGAACTACACTTTTTAGTTCCTTTAGGTGGGTAACCGAAGGAGTGGAAATAAAACACGTCTAACAAGAAGCAAGACTGGTCATGTTGCTTTACCTTTCCCTATTCCAATAAAGAAATTTGGGCCAAAGTTCAGGGGTCACCCACTTCTCTCTCTTAGGCCCTAATTAATTTGTTTCATGTTGGCTCAAAATTTCAAAAGACAAAACAATCCATATGAGTTATTTTCAACAAGTATCTTGAATTTCTTAGGCAAGAACCAACTTTTAAAAAGTCAAAAAATACTCACAACTTCTCAACCCTCTATTAGTGAGAAAATAAAAGCTTGAACAAGGAAAATCCTTACTTATGGGAGGCATATAAAATGAGTTTTGAAGTCAAATTTGGGGCATCACATACAGCTGTTAAAGGGCGAGAGATGACACCCTCTCAGTATAACCCAGATGACAGACAATGGTGATATCCAAGTATTTGTTTTCTTAATTGGGACAATGAAAGCTATAGTTTCTCTTTACCAAGTAATAAGCATGCATAATTTCTCAACTGAATAAAAGAAAAAAAATACATATATATGTATATATATACATATATATATACTTTTAAGACATTCTATGCTTCCATGTCCTTTTCCTTATTTAAGCTCTCATAATTTATCTTTTGGGATGACATGACTGAGGACTTTTGGCGCCATACACAAGGAAAATTATCAACAGTCTGGGGGCCCATCTTTAATGAAGAAAGAAGAACTTTCATTTGACAGTCAAGCACCACCCACAAACACCCCTGTTTCCTTCCATACCCACAAACACAAGCAAGGTTTCCAATGATTTCCTGAGACATACTCAACATATCATGTTCTATAAGTTCTTCAGGCATTGTAACGGTGACAAAAATGAGCCATGAAGTATTTTAGAATGGAATTTTTGATTAGTTATCATCGCTATTAAGATTTTGTGACTCACATTCCCAGACTTTAAACTTTATTGTGAAGCTACAATAATCAAAACAGCCTGGTATTGGTACAAGAACAGGCATATAGACCAATGGAACAGGATAGAGATTCTGGAAGCAAAGCAATAATTTCTCAACCATCAACCACTGGGGAGAGGAAAACCTATTCAGTAAATGGTGCTGGGAAACCTGGCTGACCACATGCAGAAGATTAAAAGAGGTCTCCTACCTAACATCATAATAAAAAATCAACTCTAAATGGATCAAAGACCTAAACGTAAAACCTCAAACTATAAGTACCTTAGAAAATGCAGGAGATACCGTATGGAAATTGGAACTGGCAACCAATTCCTGATCAACACCCAAGCCCATGTTGTAAGAGATAAGATAGACAAGCGGGACCTCATCAAACAGATAAGTTTCTGCAAAGCAAAAGAAACCATCAAGAAAGCAGAGAGACAGCCCACAGATTGAGAAAAAATTGCCAACTGTATGTATGACAAATGCCTAACATATAGGATCTACAAGGAACGCAAATATGCCAAAAAGAAAAAAACAAACAGCCCCATTACAAAGATATGAATTACAAAAGATATGAATAGACACTTCTCAAAAGAAGACTTACTCGCAGCCAACAGATACATGAAAAAATGCTCAGCCTCACTAATCATCAAAGAAATGCAAATTAAATCCACACTGAGATATCATCTAATTCCAGACAGGATGGCCATCATCAATAACTCAAAAACAATATATGCTAGAGAGGATGGAAGGAAAAGGGAACACTTCTACACTGTTGCTGGGAGTGTAAACTAGTACAACCTTTGTGGAAAACAGTGTGGCGATTCCTAAAAAATCTAAAAATCAACCTTCCATAAGACCCCACAATCCCCCTCCTGGGAATATACCCAGAGGAATTCAAATCACTCTATGAAAAAGATACCTGCACACACGTGTTGATTGCAGCATTATTCACAATAGTAAAAACATGGAACCAACTGTGCTGCCCATCGAAAGAGGACTGGATTAAAAAAAAAAAATAATGTGATACATATACATGATGGAATATTGCACAGCCATAATTAAAGATAAAATTATGAACTTCAAAGCAACTTGAATGGACTTAGAGTCTATAATACTGAGTAATCTATCACAGAAACAAAGAACTAAGTACCACATATTCACACTCATAAGCGGACCTTGAACAGTTATCCTAATACTATAAGAAAGGGATTGGCAGTAGTGGGAAACTGTCAGGGTGGGGGGCACACCTCATCAACAAGGGTCGCTGCATAATAGACATTTGTATACCTAACCCTGAATTGTATTCCACATCTTTAAAATAAAAAGATTTTATGACTGCTGGTGTTCTCACTTGCATGTAGGAGCTAAATGGCCACAAAGATGGAAATAACAAACACCGGGGATACCAATAACGGGGAAGGTGGGGAGGAGGGTAAGGGTTCAGAAATTACCTATGGGATACAATGTTCACTGTTTAGGGAGTAAGCCACCTGAGACCCAGTGCCCACCACTACCCCATATGTCCGTGTAACAAACACGCGCTTGTATCCCCAAATCTAAAATAAATGTTTTTTGTTTTTGAGTTGGAGTCTCACTTTGTCACCCAGGCTGGAGTGCAGTGGCACGCTGGCGGCCACTGCAGCCTCTAGCTGCTGGGCTCCGGCGATCCTTCTGCCTCAGCCTTCCAAGTAGCCGGAACTACAGGCGTGCGCTCCCATGCCCGGCTACTTTTTTTAAATTTATTTTAGAGATGAGGACTCGCCAAGTTGCCCTGGCGGGTCTCGAACCCGCAAGCTCAGGCAATTCACTCACCTCGGCCTCCCAAAGCGCGGGATTACAGGCTGAGCCAGTGATCCCGGCCAATAAGTGTTTTTTAAAATCCCCCCAAAAGGATTTTATGACTGCCGTTATCAATTAAAATCAATTAAAAAGGGGAAAAACAAGTGTTCTTTTGTCGTGTTTTCCATAAACAAGGTCTTTCCAAACATTATTATTATTATTATTATTATTATTTTTTGAGTTGGAGTCTCACTCTGTTGCCCAGACTGGAGTGCAGTGGCCACTCCCGGCCACCGCAGCCTGGACCTGCTGGGCTCCGGCGATCCTTCCGCCTCAGTTTTCCAAGTAGCCGGAATTACAGGCATGCACTACCACGCCCGGCTGATTTTTTTTTTTTTTTTTTTTTTTTTTTTTTTATTGTAGAGTTGAGATCTCGCTGCCCAGGCGGGTCTCGAACCCGCGGGCTCAGGCAATCCACTCACCTCAGCCTCCCAAAGTGCAGGATTGCAGGCTGAGCCACCGAGCCCGGCTTCCAAACATTATTTTACTTTAAAAGTGAGACTTTTAGCCGAGGCTGCGGTGGCCGGGAGCAGCCACTGAACTCCAGTCTGGGCGACAGAGTGAGACTCCTACTGAAAGAAAAAAAAAAAAAAGTGAGACTTTTAATGCCCACCTATCTTAGGTTGCCTCCGAAGATACAAAAGCGCAAATTAATACAAGCTTTTTTTCCATGGGGAAAAGAAGTTCATTATAAAAACGACAACAATCCTACATCTAAATTACCAAGTAGATAAAGATGCTGCTGGCCAAGATCATTGTGTCCCACAGGACTATTTTGTCACTGGAGTATTGCAAGTCCATGGTTCACAGGATGATTTCAGGGACCCCACACCCTACTACCCAGAGAAATGGAAGAACATATCAGAAGGGTGGCAATTGGCATCGTTTCAACCTCTGTATAAGTTTCAGATGTAATCACTGGCCTGATTACATAAATCAAGCATGATTACGGCTCTTTACACTTCCATTTTCCACATGCCAAAATGCAGAAAGGAAAATAATCATATAAGAAACAACTTAGACCTTCTGTCCTCTTTAGTGAGTGTGAGGGCCCCTTTGTGGATATCACACCTCTTTCCTTAGACTAGAACCTCATTAGCTTTTCCAAGCCTCCTGCAAAGGCCATCTATCTGCTTTAGGTAGAGAGGGACACGCCAACCCAAGGTTTAACCAACTACCTCAGCTCCCCATCTTTGCAAAAGTATGTGGACCCTTGTAGTCCCGCTGCTTCCCACCCTTCCACCCTCACCCCATGCTCCATCACATTATGTGGTGCTAAAAAACAAAGTTCAATTAGAAAATAAGGTACTCTTCCTTCTCATTTCCTCAGCTCCTCTGCCTTCATTTCCCCAGTAGCTAACTTCAGTCCCTTTTTTAAGAAGATAGAGGGTGGCCATTGCCTTGCTAAGCAATGGTCAGGCCAAGTGCTCATTAAGCTATGGCCAGGCCATGTTTCCTAGTTTTGGCTTCCTCCCCTGCCTTGGAGAGACGAATCTCCCCAATATTAAAAAAAAAAAAAAAGAAGAAGAAGAAGGTAGAAGGTGTACGGCTTTACTTTCACTCTTGCATTCGTTTGTCTCCGAAAGATTTGGACAGCACTAATCTCTTCTCTCCTCCCTCAGCCGAAACATTAGCGCAGGCTGTCTTACACAAGGTGCCCAGCAATTGTGAATGAATGAAACCAACAAACGCCCTGGAAACTACATGTGCTGCAAGGCCATCTCAGTCCACGCATGCGCAGCCCCGGAGCCCAGGTCCGATTCCCAGCACAGCGTCTCATTAGGCCCCGCTGGGGCCACGGTGCGACCCCAGAGTCCCTTGGTCCCAGCCCCCGCATTCATCCATCCAGCCCCGCGCGCCGGGCCTTCCCCACCGCCTCATCGGCTCGGGCACCTCCAGGGCTCCGCTGGGCTCCGCTGGAACTGCCTGGCCCTGGAAAGCTGGCGGGATCGGAGCTCCAGCACCAGCCACCGAGCCCGGGAGTCGCGCCCGGCCGCGCCCGGCAGCGCCCAGGGTGCCGGCGCCGGCGCAGG